GTTTGCTGAACATTTTGAGCTTTACTGTTGGAATTTATATCTTCCTGAACTATCACCATTTGACCATGTTTTTTTCATTACATTTTACTTTTACATATAGGTTGATTAGCCCATCAATTTAGCATATTTGAAAAATCATTTAACTTTTGAATTCCAACTAATGTTCCATTGAAAGTTGCAGATCCAAGCCTCACATTAGGTCTTTGAGTTTATAGTTGAAGCTGACACTCTAATGCAATACTGGGGGTTGCATTTGCAGCACTGTCGAAGGGGCCATCCTCCAGATGAGATCTTAAACTGAGATCCTGTCTGCCTGTTCATCTGGAGATTAAAGATCCCATTGCGTTACTCAAAAAGAGAGGGGAGTTTCTTTCAGTATCCTGGCCAAATAAGATTGATTTCATGCCTATCTGTGGGACATTGCTATAAACAAATTCACTGCTCTGTTCACCTACTAAATACACAATCACTCTACAGTAAATCCTGTGACACACATAGAGACACGATAAGACGATGAGATGATAAGGCACTGTTATCAAATTAACATTATTTATTAGTTTTGTAAGAGACCTGTTTCCAGCTCCCATATCTTGTGTGGCTATAAATCAGAGAGCTGCTGGTGGCGTGCTTAAATGATTCAGACTGGCTGTAGCTTTTTTTTCGTGCTAAGCAATTGAATGAAATATTCATGTCTGCTGTAACATCTGTTATATAAGATGCACTTTTATTTAGTTTTCTTTATATCATTAACTGCAAGAGCAGTGTGTGGCCTCTAACAAATGGGCAGAAACATTCATAAATCCTGCTTTGAATTATTGAACAAGATGTGTTCAAGATTCACAAAATATCCTCTGTAGATCACATTTGGACTTCTGCCACCATGAGCCCTGGATTAAATGGCCTCAAGCATTAAATCCTTCATGCTTGTTCCATTGAAGCATATCTCTTAAAAGGTCCCTTACTGCTATATCTCTGGAGAAGTCCCCTTGGCACAAATCTTAATGTAACACATCCTAAAAGGACAATGTACAAATATTTTATGAGTACAATGCAGGCTACCATTTCAGTGAATCATCCTTTTTGTTCCAAACTATTTTGATGCCTCTAGAATTGAACTCTTCGAGGGGAAATCTGACCTATTCTGATGTCTCTGAAGCATTTATATGTTGCTTACCTATCTCACTATTTGATTGAAACAATAATGATAATCATGTTTTCATTTGATATAGCTCCCTATCACGTTGTCCAAACATCTTAAAGTGCTTCACAGGAGTTACTGTAATTTGCAGTGGCTGCGTATTTGTAGGTGAACACAGGCAATGTGCACACAGCAATATCCCATAAACAGCCATAAAGTACATGACCAATTTTATCTGGAGGATCTAGCTGAACAGGCAGAAACTCCCTTGCCTTTCCGAATAATGCTATAGGATCTTTAACATCCATCTGAACAGGCAGGTGGGACTTTAGTTTAATGTCGCATCCTCCCGACGTGAAAAGCGCTATATCAAATGCAAGGATTATTATTATTATTATTATTAAAGTACATTATTTCTAACCACGTAGCATTCTCCCAAGCATTTCACTGGAGTTTCAGCTTAGACTAGAAGCTCAAAGTCCCACCTTGGATCTTGAATCCTCCACCTTCTGATTCACAGGGTAAGAGAGTGCTACCAACTGAGCCAGAAGGAGTTTAAAATAAGATCTGATCTGATTGGCATGGACAACCCCTTTAAGACAGTCGGTGCTGTAAAACGGGAGCACTTTTACAGTTTGATCATTCTGCAAACGCTTGCTGAGATGCCGCAGCCAATGAGATGTGATGTTGCTAAACGTTTCATTCACCGTCTCAGAATTATTTGTGCATGGTGATTGGTGTGGGTGGTCTGATTACCATCCAATTTACTGTTCAGGTGGGTGGAATAAGTTAGTTTGTGAGGAGTTGCCACCCACTTCATATTTCATCCTTTTTAAAGAAAAATTAGAGCAATTGTTCAACCTTCAAAAGAGAAGAAGCAATCGTCAGGGGAGAACCACACTGTGCTCAGTGTGTTAGAGCCCAATGCATTGCAGTTGACCACAGACAGGCAGGTTGGGTGAGTGAAGGAGGGAGTTTTTCTTCTGGGACTTGCACTGCACTGGATAGCCTTTTATTCACCAACTTTGTTCAGGCATTTTTAAAAACCAAACTGAGCAATAATTACAGTGCAAAATGATGATATTTAACTCATGGGCTGTACAGTATCATCAGCAGCAAAAGAGATTGATCTGTGGAGAGGACCATAAGTGATTCAAGCTTCAATACACCTTAGGTGTATATTTCCTGGTGTTTAGGGGAAGGGCTCCCACTGGCCTTGCTCGAGAACCATAAATTATATCATTTGGAGAGTTGGTAGTTGAGCCATTAGGATTTCCATGCCACTGGCCTACCATCTGATACCCCACTTCTTACAGGATGGTAAGGATCAAATCCTTTGTAGCTTGATAGTTGCTCATCTCAACCAACGTATTGGGGTGGGGTGGGGGCTGAGAGGAAGCATATCACTGGAGAAGTTCATACAGAGGGAGAAAGAGGCTCAGTCAATCCAGGCCAATCCCAACACATCAGCTGCCTGGTTTACAGACTGGCACAGCCAAAATACGACATTGATCAGCCGCCTGGCATCTTTGGCTGAGAAGTGGTGCACATGGCACCGAGGGACCTAAACTAGGAGAAAGTAGCCATAAAATATGGGGTAACAAATAAAACGTTTTTCATTAAATTAAAGATGTACTTTGACTCTGTGTGTTGAGACTCTGTCACCTAGATTTATCTGGCAGGGCGGGGGGAGTGTTATGTTAGCAGTAAATTTGCTTAATTACCATAAGCCATCCACCTTTTGTCTTTGCCAATACAGTGTTCTCAGTGTCACTGAGCGTTAAGATAATGAACAGTTCCAAAGGTATATAATTAATTAAAGCTAGATGAGAGCATACTTTTCTGTACTAAAAATAAATATCTTGGCATCGAGGATTATTTCTCTCTGCACTGAGTGAAGTCGCATTGAGCTAATGCCATCCAACCAAAGCTTTTGAAATTGGTTCAATTATTTATTTGGAGGAAGCAACTGCAAGGTGCATTGCTCAGAGCTCATCAAGCTCACTATCAGTTTATTCCTTGTTTATTCCTTGTAGCTGTCTCCCCCACACTAAAAGGTTGTCGCTTGAGACTTGAGCTGACACTGTCAGTCCAGGTGAGAATTAAAAATCCGATGATGCTATTTGAAAAAAAAGGGAGTTTCGCCCAGTATCCTACCAAGAAAATTGGTCAATCATTTCAAGGCTGATTTGGGTTCTTGACACATTTGTGTACAAATACACAATCGTTAAATACACAGTCCAAAACACTGACTGTCCAGTGCCTTGGAATGTCCTCCCGACGTGAAAGGCGCTATCCAAATGCAATTTTGTTGTTTTGTTGTTGTTGTTAGCCTTGATAGCAATCACCTGAACACACTTTGAGACATGTTGATGATATATTATGGGTTGAAGCTCCATGTTGTGATATTGAGCTCACAGTGTGAGCTAACATAATGATGGGGGAGTATCGCATTGTCATAGGTGCTGTCCTTTGTAATAGAAGTCACACCTTGGTCCCATTTGCCTGTTTATAATAAATAAACCTTGCATTTGATATAGTGCTTTTCACATCTTCTAGACGTCTCAAAGCGCTTCACAGAATATACTGTAAAGTGAATTGATTTTATATTTGTGGACGAAATGTTTAGGTTGACTTTAAACATCCCATGCCACTATTTGAAGAGAAGAGAGTTTCTCTGGCACCAGACAGGTGTCCTGGTCAATCATCCCCCAGATAAAATAGAATGGTCATTTACTTCACGGCTGTTTGTGGGACATTGCTGTGCGCACATTGGCTGCTAAGTTCACCGACAATGTACACAGTAACTACACTTCACGGCGAATCATGTGAATCACTTCCAGACATCCTCCTGATGTGAAAGGTCTTATATCAAATGCAAGGATTATTATCTTGCCCTAATCTTCTGTATCCCCACACCAACTTCGACTGTAAATTCTCAGCATTCGGAATCGGTGGGAGGGGTGGGAAATTAAAACCTACAAATCAACATTTCCATCTTGATATCAAAGAGCGCCTAGCAGTGCCCAGTTAATGTTGGGAGACAGTTCAATGGATTAAACTCTAAATGGTGACAAGGAACAGTAAATAGTAAATCCAAGAGGCGTCGCAGCCGACTCGATGGAATTCCTCAGAATCTGAACTCACAGAAGTTGGAATTGAACTAGGAGTCTCAGTGGAAGTGAGAAGTGAATCCTGCATCCAGGATTCACTTCTCACTTATCTTTTTTTACAAATCACAGATATTTTTTCTCCCCCCCTCAGAATTTATACCCAATTGTACACTTACGGTGGGGGAGGGGGGGGTGGCGAGGTGGAAAATCAGAGATATTTTCATCAAGGAGGCTGGGAAGCAATAACAAAAAAGAAATCTGCTTTTTAACAAGTGTCAGTAAACGAAGCGTTGAATAAACATGACTTTTGAGACGGGTTTTAAATATAACCCAGAATAAATTATTCGTCTGTTCTCCTGGCTGCACTGCAAACAGAAGTGTGGCTCTGGCTGGGAAACCAGTCTTAACAGACTACACAGAACTCTGCTTCCAGGATATGGAGTTGAAGCATAGATTTGCAGGTTTTTCCTAATGAATTGAATAAACATGTGACTGCAAGCAAAATTATCCACAACAGGTTCTGATCTTTCACTGGAAGAAATGAGTCTTAACAGACAGGCAATCAGTCAAAGGCACTCAAGACAGAATACAGAAGGCTATATAAAGTATGCTATGAATATCATGCAAATTCTCCAATTATGGTCGCACATCTGATGCCTTGAATTATTTGGGTCTCAATTTTGTTTTCAGTGATGCCAGCCCTTTTTATTTGAGCACCGTTAATAAGGCTTCTCGTGAGAAACTCCTACCTGTCTGCAGGTTCTTCTGCCAGATCAACAGTGCCTGATTCCACTGCCTCCCGGTTTGCCTTCTCTTCTTTGATCGTGTGGTCTTGGGTCGAGATTTTGGAGAGTCCTTCATTCTCTGGGGTGTGTGCCACTGTGCTCTGCTGATGCCATGGCTGACTGTCACCTCTGCTGTAAACTGGACCAGGCACAGGTGCCAGTAAACTGTTTACGGGGCTGCTGGTTTTCTTGAGTCCACCCCTGTCCCGGGAATGGCTTTTCAACCTGTTCTGACCCATGTTACGGTGCTCAAATCCCTCCTGGAGACAGCCACCGTTCCCAGAAGAGCCCTGAGAGGGGTGACTGAACCACTTCCACCTCAGCCTCAGGATCTGCTTCATATCAAACTCCTTCCTCCCAGACACTGACATCATGGTCCAAATGATACTTCACTCGGAGACGCACGAAACTGCTTTGCTTTTTTTTTTGCCTTTAGCTTTTTGCCTTTGCACGTTGGCGTTTCCCTCTCTGCACCAAATCCCTTTGGCTGCAGGAAAGCGAAAAGAACAAACCTTTTCGTCTCTGAGCAGTGTGGAGCACTGCCAGCTCTCTGAGCAAATACTAAGCTGCTGTTGACTGTGTAGGTGGGATGCCACACTGACAGGATGATGAGGTCAGCCCCAAATCAGATTAACACAGGAAGGCAGCTCCCAAAAACTCCCTAAACAGCAGCTGGGTCCTACGTACAACTGAACACAGACTTAGCAGCACTGCTCCTCGCTTCGCAAGATCCCCATCTGCCTCGAGCAAATGCAAGCATGAAATTCAGGGAAACGTACGTTAAATAAAGTATCGAGGTTGCATTTCCCAGGAGGAGTGCCTGCAGCCTGTGGACCCAGTTGTTCCTTTTTTCTATGTGGCAGTCACATTCCCTTACTGAAGGATTGAGGCAGCAACAAAGGACTTTGTTTCCCAGCTTGCATGGCCCCTGACTTGCCTTCCCACTTTTTTTTTTCAACTGAAAAAGGGTCAAAAAGCAAATGTCATCCCAGACGAGGCAGCAGTTTTTAAGCGCTGAGAGAGAAGAATGGTCTCAGTCAATTAGGATGTCTTGTGATGTGATTAAACTGGGGCAAAGGGCTGTTCAGATCCTGCAGATGTGTCGTTGAACGAGCACAGTCTCTCTGCAATGATATATGATGTGAGGGAATATCTGAACGCAAGCAATGGCTTTTTTTCTTTTTTTAAAAAAAAAGGGTAAAAATAGCTGAAATTAATTTTTCAATGGACTGGAAGGGAGTGCGTGGTGAGTGAATTATTTTCCATTCTTGGTTTCCTCAGCATTTCATCAGCCTGCGGGGCTCTTTTTTTTTCCAAATAACAAAACAAATCTCCGAGGATGTCCTCAGTTTTATTGCACCAGGATATTTCTTTAATCAGAGATGCACAACAATAACAGGAAATTCTGTTTGGATTTCCCTGTATCTGGTTGCAAACCCCAGCAGCAGCAGCAGCAGCAGCAGTGTGAAATCCCAGGATAAATTAAGATAACACTCCCCAATTCTGCAAGACCTTAAACCAGAAAAAGCCATTTGTTAACACTTTCCAGGGAAGGTTTGGTATTTTTTCCTAGTGAGCCATTAAACCAAGATCTCATCTGGCTGTTCAGGTGGACATTAAAACTCCCATTGCAATAGTCAAAAAGAGAAGGGAGTTTCTCCTGAGCAACAATCCCCCAAATAAAAATGACCATTCACTTCAAGGCTGTTTGTGGGATATTAATATGTACAAAATAGCTGCTGGGTTCCCCTGCAAATACACAGTCGCTACACTTGACAATAAAATCCTGTGAAGCACTTTGATACTTCTCGATGACGTGATAAGGCGCTATAACAAATTGAAGGATTATACAGATTGCGATTGCCTTTTTCTGTTCATACAATTAGAATTTTTTATGATTTCAAAGTGATTTTGATAAGAGGTGTCTTGAGCACAGGAACAGATACACCCAGTAAAAGCTCAAATCCCACTCAACTCTGGTTTGCCATTGCCCTTAGATTGTGAAACTCTTTAGTGTGTGTCTATATGTGTGTAAATAAAATGTGTGTGTGTGTACTGTAAATTGAGTAAATAATATGGCTGTTATAGCAAAGAATCTGGTATTTAAAAGCTGGATTGGTAAAATAAGGCGGTATTCGTTATTTTAGCGTCTGAAATGGGTGCAACAGTTGTACAAATAACATTCAACCCCTGTACAATACTGCACAGATTCCATCTGGAATGCTTGTGATATGCATGGCAATGTCAGATGTTATGCCATTTATACTCTCGTTTATGAGTTCTGTTCCTAAAATTATGACCTCGGCAGAACGGTATTTCATTTACCAATAACTTTGTCAGCAGTAAATCCATTTCTGTTAGAAACCCTAATCTCCCACTTGATGAATGGATTAAAAAAAGATAAAGTTAATATCTGCTAAGATAGCATTTCACCGTGTGGTTATGATTTACTTTGCCCCATCACTTGACAAACACTATAAAGTGATTTGTGGTCATGAGTTAGAGTTCCTTTTTCTTGAAATAATGAAGACTTTGTCTTTGCTACTGTGCATTTGGAAGCATGTCTCTCTTCTCCAAAATGCTTCTGGCATGACGAGCGCTATATAAATGCAAGTTGTTGTTCCCTCTACTGTGAAAGGGACAAAAGTTACCAGTATTACCTGGATAGTCCCAATCACTTTGCACTTAAATCTAGTTACAGAATTTCCCTGATCAGCAAGCAAGACAGTCAAAAAACAAAGATTTGCTTTGTTTCACTGAGAACCAAATGTTATTCCCATGAGCATAGACACACACGCACGCACAGCCATTGTTGTTTCAACTTCACTGTCAATGCTGAGAACTTGCACTTGGGATCATGGGACATGACAGACCAGGAAAATACAAGTGGAGAGATGCTAGACATAGCTGACAGCAGCAAATTCCCCAGATCACTAGGCCATAAAGACGCCTCTGGATCTGTGAAAAGATCACACTTGCCTGAAGCTTGTCTCAACAGAAGCTCTGACTCTCTGCAAACAGAAAACAATTAGACTAACTGAAGTTACCAGCCGAATTTCCCGTTAGTCAATATTAATGAATCCCGTTGCTAACCACCGCCTACTCAAACACGTTACCTTCATGAAAAATTCCTCTCTGGTCCAGAGGGAGAAACATCAAGGGCAGCATTTTGATTCTGACGACGTCTCACTCAAAAGAGAATCTTTGTTGTGATTTCATTCCTACAGTGTGCAGAGGTTCGTCAGACCCTTTTCTCCTGAAGATCGCGTTACTTTAATAAATAATGTTGAGGCACAGTGAAAGAAATCTGATCTACTGTTCCTTAACTAAGCTGTTCGTGGTTTATACTGACACTCAGTGTAAAACCTGTCAATTGTTCCATTCTACCGCACTGACATCTCTTCAAAGATAAGCACAAAAAAAATCACCAATTTTCCAGGTTTTGGTATTTATTTATCATCTCATATGGTCAGAGCAGTTCTATTGATGAACAAACTGCCCCAAAATCATACACAAATGTATATCACCACCCTTTTCTTTTGCCTTTTCTTCATTTGTGAGCATTAATTGGTGTGACAAGACAACAAGAACAACAAAATTACATTTGTAAAGCACCTTTCACGTAGGGAGGATGTCCCAAGGTGCTGTAAAACAGTACATTTAATGAACAGGTGATAAAGCTGCCAGAGTTGGAGATCACTGAGCATCTGACAGAGCATCACAGTGCACTGATGGAGCAGAGTTACATATGAAATCCATGTGTTTTAAAGCATTTGCTCTTATTAAGGCTTGAGCTCTTTGAGCGCTCGAGAAAACATTTGTTATTGTGGCAGCTTTGTAATAAACATGGCGTGTGTATTCATCCTGTTTAATCCCTGTTTGGTGCTGAAAGCTGAATGTGTGTTTTGCCATTAATCCCAGTATGCCATTAATTACTACAAGTTAAGCAAAGGGATGAATGCATTGGTACACAACAACCAATTAAAATAACTATTAAAAAGAAATCTGACCAAGGTGACCAAGGAATTTTGCATTTTTCTGTATGACCCAAAAAATCCATGTACCTAAGTTGAGAGACAAAGAACCTGCATTTACATAACACCTTAATGTGTCAAAATGTTACAAAATGCTGCACAGCCAATTACTGTCAAACGTTGTATTTTAGTAAAGCACGGTAGCCATTTGAGTCAGTAAGATGGCACAAAAAACATCTATAATAAGATAAATAACCAATTGATTTGAAAGATTGCTGGCCAAGACATTGGAAGAATAAACTCCTGTCTTTTTTCTAGAACGTTATGTTGCCCAAGGCTATGAATTCAACACAGAGAGATCAGACTTGAGGCCTTTCTTGTCTATATGGCTTAGTACGACATAAGGAAAGTTGAGAATGAGAAAATAATCCTTCAGATAACTGAAACTCAATCCCTTCAATGCAATAAATCTTTGTCATGATGCTTACTTGTATTTTTAAATGTTTTGACTCTGTGGGCTTGCTGGGTAATAATAATAATAATAATCCTTGCATTTGATATAGCGCTTTTCACGTCGGGAGGACGTCCCAAAGTGCTTCACAGAACACACTGTAAAGTGAATTGACTGTATAATTGTGGGCGAACGCGGCAGCCAATTGCGCACAGCAATGTCCCACAAACAGTCGTAGATTGAAAATGACCAATTTATTATTGTTTTTTGTTTTGGAGGGATTATTATTAGGCGTGTGGAGTAAGGAAACTTGCCCAAGGTTTCGCCCTGCCTGGAATTGAACTCAGATCTCTCGCTTGCAAAGCGAGTGCTCTAACCACTGAGCTACAGGACTCCAAAGGTAGGACTCCAGGGTAGATTATTCAACATGTTTTTATAATATAATAATATTAATAATAATTTGATATTGCAACTTTCATGTCAGAAGGATGCCTCAAAGCTCTTCACACAATTTAATATGCAGTGACCAAGCATTTTGTAGGCAACTATGGTAACCAATTTGCGCTCAGCAGTATCCCACAAAGAGCCATGAAGCGAATGACTATTATTGTCTGGAGAATTCCCAAGATTGGTTTGATTGAAGAAGGTCCTTCAGCCCATCCAAAACATCCACCCTTCACCCCCCCCCCCATCACCCACCCACTAAACACAGTATCAAGCTGTTTTTTAAATGAATCCAGTGTCCTGGCCTCAACCTGCCATAAAGGGATTAAACTGCTGTTTATTGGTGCTATATGAATGTGAGTTGTTGTATTCAACAATATATAGTAATATACAGTAATGGGTGTCATCGCTACTGGATCCAAAACACAACCCCAGAAGGAGACATTACCACTGAGGATTTCCATAGGATTAATCTGGTAGCAAAGCGATTACACTCATCACATGGGCACTTATTTGAGAGGTTGCCAGCCTTCCTGCCTGGACTCCCAGCAGAGAATTCAAATCAAGGTATAAGTGGGGGCTATTTTTGAACCGTGAGGAGCAGGGATGC